AGAGATAATTAATTATAAACCGGCAAGCAATACATAGCTACTTTGCCCATTTAATGAGAGATGATGCTAAGACCATTTTATTTTTTTAACACCCTTGAATAGGCATCCCTAGCGAAACCTCTTGTACTAAGATCTTGACTTCTTGGAATTTTTTCAGTAAGATCTTGATTCAAGATCTTGGTAAGAAGATGTAAGAAGTCAAGATCTTGAACATCTTGCGCTAATTTCCTGCGAAATTACTTTAATTACGAGCAAATGGAAACTGTCGAGAGCGAAGGTTGTAGAGAAGCTTCCGAGCTATTTAATATTAAAAAGAATATCTTTCAAAGCCTTTCCCTCGCTTATAAATGTCTATAAATAAATGTGACGATGTGACATTTTTCGTGACGACGTGACACACTTTTTTGTCAGTGAACTATCAGGCACTTAATGTCCTCCAAAAACTTGATTTTTATATTTGCCATAGATTTGGTGATATTCTATCGAGCTGTGCGTAAACATATAAAGTTGAAAAATGTTTTTCAGGCTTTCAAACTTGACTGATACCTTGAAACATCGAATAGGCATAAGTTTTGTTCCTAAAGTCGAAGTGTCGAAAAAAATGAGCCATTTTGTAGAGAATTTAGTTTTCTATCGAATACTGTAAATTTTAAATTTTTTTAAAAGAGTTTCTAGGTCAAACTTTTAAATTAAATTTTTTCCACCGAAATTTTAATTTTTAGTTGTTAAGGAGGTCGGATTCATAATCAGCTCGAAAAACTGCATCTAGTGATGTGCTCATATCGATTCTCGGATAATAAAAAGTTTTTAAAAACTTAATCAGCGAAGTGTCGCGTTACGTGGACAAGCCGTTGGGTACAAGAAGTTTCACTAGGGTTATAAAAGAGAAATAGGAACTAGTTCTTGAACGCCCGTTCAAAGTGCCCTGTGAAACGTATGCTTGAACTCCCTTGAAGGGCCTTATAAAAGAGAAATAGGAACTAGCGTATGAACTGGCGTTCCGCGTTTTTGAACGAGTATAGAACGGGTAAAGTCGAAAAATGTTGTCAGTTTTGAACGGGGTTCCGACGCATGTTCCATGGTTTTTTTTCGCTCTTGGGTAATTGTTGAGACACGTCTCATTGAATTGTTGCTGCTTTGTAGAGACGTCCGCTTCAGCTAAAAGTTCTAAATTTGAAAAGAATCGATATGGTGCGCCGCGGATGGACATACTCTATTAACAGTTTATCAATAGGAGATAATGTGTGATCACACGATATAACGAAGACCACTAATTTCCGATAAACTTTTTCTTATACAACAGACCACTATAAAATAGCATAATTACAGGGTTTATGAATTTCAGAATTTGCCCTGGCCCCTCCTACGCTGGTCAACTCTCCAGTTTTTTTATCATTTTCTGTTTCATTTGTTGAGTTGTGATTGTTGTGGTATACGTTTTAATGAGAGGAAATTTAGTTTCAGTTCGAAACTCCCGTTCAAAATACTCCTTGGAACGGGTAGCTGAACTCCCTTTGACTTGGATGGAAAACTGTCACAGGGAACTAGTAGGTGAACGGGCGTTAATAGACCATGCGGAACGGGTGGTTGAACTCCCCCTGACTTGGACGAGAAAATGTCATAGAGAACTAGTTCTTGAACGCCCGTTTTATGGACTCCGCGAAACGGTTTGTTGAACTCCATTGAATCCAAATTTATGAACGGGTGTGGAACGGGTAAAGTCGAAAAATTTTGTCAGTTCTGAACGGGATCGGAAAGGGGTTCCGACGCACGTTCCATGTTTTTTTGTCGCTCTTGGGATATAAAAAAGAAATTTTTCATTTAAAAAATACTTTGATTTAAGAAAATTACTTCTCTATTTCATAATCACTGCATTTCTTTTGTAAATATAAATTCAATCTGAAATGATACAAAGAGAGAACCAGTTAGTAGTTTAAAAAAAACAGGAAAAAACGAAGCGGAAATAATAATAAAAAAATTCTGCTCCTTGGACTATTAGTTCAGAAAGAAAAAAAACAGTAGATCCTGCCCTATTTTCTAAACCAAGAAGTCGTAACCAAAAACTCATTTTTGTTCCCACCTTATAATGGAAGATTCGAGAAAGATAGTATAAGACCCGTTTACGTACATAGCAGAATCTTTTTGTGCTTGTTTTTCTCTTCTAGAACCATTATTTTTTATATTAGAAAAAACGCACATTTATGAACACAGTGACGCCTATGTTTGATTTATTTTATTTGTTTTTATTTTTGTAGTATATTTGTTCTTTTTATTATTGTAAATGTGTTTATTTTTTATATAATTGTACTGGCTAAAAATATGTTGTTTTTTTATTGTTGTAAATTTGTTTGTGTTAAAAAAAGAAAAAGAGAATCATTTTTAAATAATAAAAGTTTATAGAAAACAAAAGTGTTTTTTTCTAAACTGACTTTTTTCGCTCTAGCTGGAAGAAAAAGTACATTTGAGCTTTGACGGAACAGGAAACGCGAGACAAGAGATTCATCGAGAAAAAAACTAAAAAGAGTCGGATATCAGGCAAATGTTGAGAAAAGGTCGATAGAAGGCACAATGACTTGATCAGCTCTTTCTTGTTAGAACGCACTTGAAATTCTCAAACCTCAGCGGGCGACTAACGGACAAACTTCTCCCAAGCAGATCCGAAATAAGTCTCCCTTCGCTATTTGAATTTTAACAAGATCTAGGTAAATCGGTCCCTGTCTCGCTGAAAGTTACATCTGACTGATATAGCTGTTAGTTTGAAATTTTTGACGAACAATTTTATTTATTTAGTAAACACACTTGTTTAACAAGGAGCTGAGCGAAACAAAGGTTATGAAGTGAAACAAAACTGAGGTGCCAAACGTAACGAATGAATTGCAATCATAATAAATTAACAGAATTTCTTTTGTCTTTATAGTACAACGTTTTAGATTACGCTACTCACTTGCAATAACCTACATGTAAGCATTATTTGATTAATTATCCTTAGTTCCCTAGTGACACACATTCTTATTAGTGTACGTTATAATGCAAAAAAAAAATCATTGTACCCAAAATATCTTAAAAACCACAAATCAGATAAATTTTCGTCCACAGAAACGGCACATCTACACACTATAACAAACATAAAGTGCAAAAGAAGTACATTGACCGGATAATCCATTAGAGAAAGTTCGCGCTCAAATTTTAATTAGTAAAGATGCGATGCCCTTCAGCAGTCTATCGAAGTTTGACACACAGGAACTACTTAGTTCAATTTCACATCGATCTAATACAAAAAAACGAATTTAAGCAAAGACGCGCAAAACTAAAGCAAAGAAAATCGTGTTTTTTTGCTGTTACTATTAATGGCAAAGAGCTAACAATCAGGGTTCCTAATGAGAATTTGAGCAGCGCGTACATACGCGTGGTAATTCGTGGATTTTATCGTTCTGTCTTTTCCTATTGGTTGATACAAAGCGTATTTTCGATTTAGTTCGCGTACCGTACGCTTTGGAACAATGGCGTACGCGTAATGTTAGAAACACTGCTAACAATAAACAAAAGAATCCACATTTCTTTGTCGTTTCTTATTGGTCGAAAGAATGCGCCAGTTATAGCCCGCCATTTTGCTTTTTTTGACCTCTTAGGTGAAAATTTCAACCTTTTTAGTCCGTATTTGAATCAGATGAAATGAAACTTTGCTGCCCACCGTTTTAGACTATACTGATTTCAATGCAATTCAAGCGGGCTCATAAAAACCCCCGTATAAAAAGTCGATTTTTTGCTAATGCCCTTATTGAAAGCAACCTTCAAATCGTCTAAACGAAAAGTAAGAGAACTGTCAATGACGCACGTTGTACGTGTAAAACATAATCTGTACAGTACCAATCTAGCTTTACAGTACGCATTCGTTAAAATTAAGTGGTCTCCTTGTAAAAAATAACACTGGCTTCTTCTTCTTTTCTGGCATACCTTTCATATGTCACCATCATCAACAACAACACAAACCTTTTGATTTATTCTGCTAAAATCGTGTATACAAAACATTTCCTCTTTCTATTGATTCTTCTTGCTGTTAACGTTCTTTCTCTTTCGCTTTTATTTCACAATCAAAATTTTATTTTTTGTTTAAAAAGGTAAAGTTGTTTTTCACTATTGAAAGATAAACTCATTATACGTAAAACACAATGTGCACTAATAACACTTTTTCTAGTGTTGCATTACATAAACGTCGTAACTTTCATGTTCGAGTGTATCGTAATGGTGAACACAACATTGGCGTTTATTGCAGATCATGCAGTATGGACACTGTAAGGTATCTAATGAGAGGTTACTGCTCCTTTTTTCTTAAAGCCTCTGATTTAGTTATTCGCAGATGCGACGGAGAAATTACAGATGCCTAGACGTGCGCGGCGTCTATTCAATGCTAATGGAAATGAAATTCTTAGTAGTGAAGATATTCAACGTGACATGGAATATTGCGTGTCCTCAGGAGAAAAATTTAAAAACCCATTGAAAACCATTGCAGGTAACAAAAAAGAACCGCAGAAATAGCTGCGTAAGCAAATAGCTCGAAATTTAGATGAATCTCACAGATAGTTTAAAGGAAAAGTTCTTTATGACCTCTAAACTATTTTTAAACATAGTTCAAATAAAACGTAGAGAAAATTCAATATGGACAGTGGTATACAAGCGAAACCGTCATCACCGATTGACGAGAAGTCGCAATCACCAGAAGAAGAGGAGGAACTGCAACCGCCTGATGACGAGGAACCACGAATACGACGTCAGCGACATAGACGAGTTTCACCGAAACCGCCGAGATCAGGGCTATTGAATACATCAATACGATCACAATCATCAGAAGAGGAACCGCAACAGCCTGATGGCGAGAAACCACGATCACGACGTCGACAACGTAGACAAGTTTCATCCAAGCCGAAACCGACGAGATCGCGGCCATTGAGTGCACCAACACGAACGTATGTCTGGATGTCTCTCTGTGTATGATTAGTCTTAGTGACGGTCTTTGCTCATTTTGGCTTCGTGCTGATTTCTTTTCCATATGCTGGTGTCCATCATTGATTCACTAGACCGACATTCGGTTCAGCTACTTGTTTTTGGAATCTTTTTTCTAGTGTTCCCCTGTATAAACGCCGCTATCGCTCAACGAATTTTCGTGTTCGAGTGTACAGAAATAATGATCCCTATAGACATGTTTATTGTAAATCTTGTACAATGGATACTGTAAGACAAATAATGTGTACTGCTCAATGTGTCTGAAGTGTTTTTCTTGTATGCTTTAGATATTAACAGCTGCAACCCAGAAACTCCGGATGTCGATGGGTGCACGACATTTATATGATAGTAGGGGACGCGAAGTTCATTGTACTGAAGATATTCAACATAACAGAGGATATTATGTGTCCTGACAAAGAAAAAATTAAAACTTAACTGAGTTTTTATTATTTTTCGAACAAAAGAAACAAGACATATGCGATCTCTTATCTTTCTCTTTTTCCTTATCTTTTCAAATATATCTTCCTCTGTGACACACAAAGTTTTCCATAGACAACAAGTGCTAAAAATTTTATAATATCATCAGATTTTTCATACACATCATATAAGAGAGCGCGATCAAACAATTATGCACGTAAACTCAACGCTTTTATAATCATCTTAGTTTCTCCTTTGAAACTGTTGTTGAGGCCAACTGGGTTACTATGATTTTCGTTACTTCAAGTTCAAATGAAAATCGTCAAAATTCGTCCGATTGCATAGCCAAATAGCTTAGGTCAACTGATTCTGGCAAAGATACAGGTATAATGTCAAGCTGAACATTCATTTGTTTTATAGCTTTATTCTGTCAGAATACAAGCGGAAGAATATTCCATTATAGTATTCTAAACTAAAACTATCCAAAAACACAAAATCAATTTTTGTACGAATAGAGATTCGAACATGTGAACTTAGCTTTGTAGTAAACTACCAACTTAAACATTCATTTGGTATTGTCAGTCATGAATTAACTTAGACATTCGTTTCGCATCTCGAATCACATTAAATCCAAACAGTGAATTAAAAGAAGATAATTATGTACTTGAATATTGAAAATAGAATGTAAAGCTAATGCCTTTGAAAATCCACAACCAACAGTCCGATGATTGATCGATGATAGCCCAATCGATGGAACAAAAAGCACCCATAAAGTTACATAAAATGATCAGTTTTGTATATTAGTATTAACAGAATATGATCGAACAGATGTTAGTAAATATTCAATTATCGCACAAAATAGTGAAGGAAGTGTAAGATGTACGAAATTCGAAGTTTGCGTGAAACTTTATTTTTGGTTCGTTTATACTTGATCGTATAGAGAATTTTACGCTGATCACGAATATCACTTTCCGATCCCTTTTAGTGCGCGTCTTCATAGAGAAAAGTTGAAAATACTGTGAGAGGCTCTTTTTCGAAATATCGCTAGTTTTCAGAAAAATGAGGATATCTTTGTCGCGTTTAATCCTGGAAAAACGCGACAGTAATTTTCGGAATCAGCGTTCTGAACAGACCATAGAAATGTGCTTTAAGTCTGGTGGGACATTCCGTGTTCGAGTTTCGAATTTGTTTCCGTGCAGGGCTGCGAACTGAAAATCTTATTTTAAAAACCTATCTAATGTTTTCCATTGATAGGTGGAGCCTTCAGTTTTATGCCATTCGAACCGCCATTCGACGGACAGCAAAAATATGCTCTCCGTTTTTCAAAATTATTTTCTGTTGAGCAGAAATACAGCTTTCTTTCATTCTCTTGGCGAATCGGGGAAGACATTCGGCTTCGGATTTTTTAGTTTTCGTCCAAATTTCTTTTTTTAGGTAAACTTTGATGTTGAATCGAATGCACATGCTCCGAAATAGATTCAGAAGGTGCCTGGTGGATTTCTAGAAAGCCATCTGGCGAAATAACTTAGAATATTCGAAGAGTCTTAGCAAACAAAATCCTTTCCACGATTTTTCTGTTATGCTTATTCCTAAAAATCATTAAAAAAACCAATTGTATAAAAGCCGTAAGAAATACTAAGAAAAATACTAATAATTCATATTAGCATTGGTTATTCGACGATGTGCAGTGACTGTATCTTTACATAACGAACTAAAAACATTGTCGGTACTTCTTGATATGTTTTACCGTCTTTGTAACTCTGAACTGTTTTCCAAAATCGACGTATCAATTTTAATTCAATTTTCTTTTCAGCAAAGTACATTCTTGCATCTGGAATAAGTGACAGCATTTTACTATGTGTCTGATCATTCCATTTTCTGACGTACATGTTAAGGTGACATCAAACAGCGTCTATTGGATTCAATTCACCGTGATAACGTGGATCAAACAACACTTTAATTCCGTAATTCGCTCCAAGCTTTTCTAGTTTTATTATCTATAAGAGAGAGAACCAAGAAGGGGGAACTCTCAGACAGAGTCTGGGAAACTTTTTCCAAACCGAACTTAAGGCGAGCTTAATCTAAAGATTCCGCGACTACTTAGATTTCTTTTAAACACACAAATTCCGATTTGACGGAGTCTGCTGATTACGAATATGACCTTATTTTTTCGATTTGACCGAGTTTTCATGCAGAAAATCTCAAAATACTGTGAAGGCGTCACAAACCTCGAAAAACCGATTTTTCAGAAAAATCCCGATTATCTCCTGATTTTTCGATCTCACCGGTGCCTTTTTCGGATTCAGCATCGCGGGGCACATCTAGGCACTTGTCATTCGATGACGTTTCTTCAAGACTTAAACTCTTGTAGCTGATCAAACACTGATCGCTCGAATCTTGAGGTTCTCACTGCGCAATGCTATCTAGTTTTTTGCGATGAGAGCTAGACACTTCTTTTATACGCCAGAAGACTTGCCTTGTCTTGCTTCACAAAAGTATGCTTCGTTTTTTTCAAAACGTTTTTCCTTTTAAGAGAAATTAGGAAAAGACTGAAAAAGTGCGAGTTTCTCGAAAAATCCTTCAGATGATGAGCCCATAACTCAGTGAAATTTCCACCTAGAGAACTGCTGTTATGGTTTTCTGGGTAAAAAGCGATGCTGAATACGTTAGTAATGTGTATCAGAGGTTTGGAGTTTTCCAAGTAGGTTTTGCAAAAAAACAGAATTCTGAGAAATCTTCAAGAGCCTTTTGGAAAGCTTTTTCGTCCCGAACACATCGTATCGACAGAACGTTGAATTCTGAGCAAAATGAAACGCCCTCTATCCCTCTAGCACATTTCTAGGGTGAGATTAGGCCATTTTACTTTCAGAGATCCGGCTGACTCGAAATCCTTTTACGTGGATGGAGTTGTGTAGTTTGTCGTGCCTTAACTCTGTCTTTCTCGACGGAAAGCACCTGACGAGACCCTTGAATTCATTTCTGAAAGAATCAAAAGAAGATACTACTCGTGTGTATGTATGATTGTATGTCTGGATTCCTTGACACATGAACTAGTAGTACAAAACGTGATTGGAGCGAAGATTGCGGCAATGAGGCATTGTGCGGTAGTCCACAGAGTTGGTTCTAAGCTCATTTGCATCATCTAAGGCAATTCTTCTTAAAACTTGCTATTTGAATCTCTGATAACAGTTTTGTTGTTTGTGCACTATTCATAAT